TGTACATTGCAATAAGACATCACTCTTTGCAAATAATACTTTCAGTTAACATTAGAATAAAATATGATATTTCTTTATCCTCTTATGAATGCTTGTGCAACCCTAGTAATAATAGAACACTATTAACTAGTGTGGGAAACTGAGGACCGGGAAGATGGTATATGCGGCCAACCCCTCTACACTCATAATAAAGAGTCTGGAGGGCCAAGACTCTAATGAAAGAAAGGCTTCACATTTTGAGTTGAAGATTAATCCCAGTCACATTCTCCTAACTAAAGACCATTCCCCACAATATCCACTCCTAATAGTGCTACTACAAAAATACTTCATACAGCCACATGGCTGATCACTATGCAGTAGAAGGCCTTTATCTATAAAAGCAGACATGTTTCTATTGTCCTCCCTGCTCAAGAGGTGGTCAACTCCCTTCTGTCTGTCTCCAGTACTAGTATTGGGTTACTCCCCCAGTGAGCTCAGGAACTTCTAGGGCAGTGGTTCTCCTAATGCCTCAACCCTTTAATACAGTTCCTCCAGTTGTGGTGATCCCCCCCACCCCCAACCATAAAATTATTTTTGTTGCTACTTTATAACTATAATTCTGCTACTGTTATAAATCGGGTGACCCCTGTGAAAGGGTCGTTTGACCCCCAAAGGGGTCTGTGACCCACAGGTTGAGAACCACTGTTCTAGGGTAAGCCACTCCCCACCTTGTTACCTATGTGATTGATGGGGCACGCATGTCCCAAGAATATATATACCCACTGAGAAATAGATTCTTGTGTTCTCTAGTTCTTGGCTTCATGGAAGAGGTGAGCTCTCAATATGCATTGTCTGCTGTCCTTTATTCTTTCCCTTTAATTTCACAATCACTCCTCAGAACTCATTCAGACGTAAGGTTGGGCCTTAGAAATGGTACCCTGAACTAGGGATCTGTTGGAAAGTCTCCCAGAAGAGAACATAATCCCTGCACAATGATTGTGCAACCCCATCAGAAGGTAGAGTAACAAGTACTCCCTCAATGCAAGATCACTTTGTTCTATTAAACTGGCATTCCATGACGCTCACCTTCTCGACATGATCGCTGAAGACAGAGCGGGTGCATAGTAAATGTGGTGAAGACAGCTGATGGTGCCCGGCTAACAAAAGATGTAGCATCTGGGGTCTTAAAGGCTTGAAGGTAAACAAGCAGCCATCTAGCTCAGAAGAAACAAAGCCCACATGGAAGAAGCACACCTGCCTGTGGGATCACGAGGTGATGAAGGGATCAGGTATTAGGCATCAAAGAACAAAAAATCTTATCATTGTGAATGAGGGGGGAGTGCGGAGTGGTGACGCAAAGCCCATCAGTAGGCAACTGGACATCCCCTTACAGAAGGGTTGTGGGAAGGAGACAAGCCATTCAGGGTGCAGTATAGCACCGATGAAACATACAACTTTCCTCTAGTTCTTTAATGCTCCCCTCCCTGCCACTATCATGATCCCAATTTTAACTTACAAATCTGGCTAGACCAGAAGATGTACACTGGTACAGATAGGAACTGGAAACACAGGGAATCCAAGACAGATGAACCCCTCAGGACCAGTGGTGATAGTGGGGATACTGGGAGGGTGGAGGGAAGGTGGAGTAGAAAGGGGGACCCAACCTATCACAAGGATCTACATATAACCCCCTCCCTGGGGGATGGACACAGAATGGTGGGTGAAGTGAGACGTCAGACAGTGTCAGATATGACAAAAAAACAATTTATAAATTGTCAAGGGTTCATGATGCATGGGGGACAGGAAAGGAGGGGAAAAATGAGGAGCTGATACCAAGGGTTCAAGTAGAAAATGTTTTGAGGATGATGGCAACAAATGTACAAATGTGCTTGACATAATGGATGTATGTATGAATTGTGTTAAGAGTTGAGTGAATTTGGGGAATAATCCATGGTTCCCAGAAGAGGGAACTTTAGATCCAGGGACCTGGGAAAAGGTCACTATAAATTCAAAGAAAGGACAATAGACACAGCCTAACCAGCTAGGCAGATGATGCAACTGAACCTCAGTCAGGCCTATCACTCAGTCCCACCACCAGGAGGAGCTCAAAGATAGATTTAACTAGCAAAGATGTTTAGCTTAAACCAGAACCACCAGCAGTTATTAGGACCGGTAGGTGGGGACCACTACCAAAAGGGAACAACATAGAAGCCCAGGTGGTGTAGCGGTTATGCGTTGGACTGCAATCTACATGTGGCCGGCAATCCAAAAGGTACAACAGGACTTTTATTAGGAAAATCCAGTCAAAGTACTCAAGGAATTCAGATCGTTATTGGAGTTACTGAATAAGAATGTGAAAGGGAACCTAAAACTATGATTAAGTCTGAAATCCCATGGATTATAAAAAGGTAGATTGCATAGGGCAATTATTTTAACTTCCTTATGTTCCTGTTCATAAAAAACTAACATGACTTGGGAAAAGGCACCAGAAGATTTATATGTAAGGTCTTGGAGTATATTGGAATGCTGTTATGGATAAGCAAGAGCGCACCTATATGGAGTTGATAATTGAAGGGAAAAGGTTTTCCAGACTTTAAGATTCAGGAGCTGACCTCACGGTCATGAGCCATTAACAATGGTCAAAGGCTTAGCCACTGATCACCCCTAGTTTTAGCAGAGAACCTACAATGTACAGGGCCTGACGGCAGTCCGGTTTAATTAAGCCTGTGGTGACTCTTAACCCAATTAATTCTGGAAGGAGGGATCTGTTGCAGAATTTCACAGCAACGAACAGGGAAGCAGACTTGGAAAAAATGGACGAGATCCTTCTCCAATTGAGATCACTTGTAAAAATAACCACCCGGGGCTAGGATATTCAAATTTTTAATTGACACTGCTATTGTAAGGCCTGCACCTATTAAACTATCCTGGAAGTCAAACAACCCATATGGATATAACAGTAGTTTCTTAATAAAGAAAAAATACAGGCTCACCATGAATTAGTTCAGGAGGAGCTGAGAGGTCATACTGAAGAGCGTCAGCATTTGGAACGCTCCTGTATTTGTACTTAGAAAGACAGCAGGCAAGTGGGGGCTGATGGACCTGAGAGCAGTCAATTCTATCATATAGCTCATAGGAAGCCTCCAACCAGGACTTCCCTCGCCTAGCATGATTCCAAAAGATTGGGCTCTGATCATCAGAGATTTGAAGGATTGTTTTCACATTATCCACTTAGATCCTGATGACTATGAAAGGTTTGCCTTGACTGAATCAAACCATAAAGCTCCTACTAAAAGGTACCATTTACAAACTTTGACTCAGGGCGTGGTGAATTGCGCCACCATGTGTTCATTTTTAAAATTAGATTTAGATTTGAATTAGATTTTAAATTAAATTTAGAACAATCCAGAAAGCGCTTCTCCAAAGCTTACACCATCCCCTACATAGATATTTTTAAAGTTGCACCTGATAATGAAATGCTGCAACAAACCTGTACGCAGAGAGATGAAAGCATCTCTCAGGCAGTAATTGTTCCTATTAAAATTCAGACAACTAGGCCTTATACATAACTAGGGACAGTAGCAGATCGAACAACTATTAGACCCGAGAAGCTTGACATTAGAATAGACCATCTAAGAACATTAAATAATTTTCAAAAGCTACCAAGAGATATATATTGAATAAGCTTTGCTGGGCATCCCCATGCAGGAAGTCCAACACTTGTTTGACACATTAAAAGGGGACCTGTGGCTAAACAGTCATAAAGAGCTCACCCCTTCCGCTCACTGTGAGTTACAATTTGTAGAACGCATCAGTTAAGGGAATATTTATCACTTTGATCCAGCTAAAGTATCCACCTTGCCATTTTTCACATACCAGTCACCCCACTGCTACATTACCCCAAGAGGATAAGCCTTTAGAGTTGCTACATTGAGGCAATACTGACCCCAAAGTTGTTGGCCTTATTGGGCACAAAGAGTGTAGCTGATTACCAGAGGCTGGCATCGCTGCCAACAACTGAGTGTGTATGATCCATCAATAATAAACTTAGCTTACTCCCAGCTCAGATAAAAACTCTTGGAAATTTCAGATAGCGTTAGCTGAATTTGGGGGGAAATTAGATTGTTATTAGGAAGGCTCTGGAGTTCCTAAAATGAACACCATGGATCATTAACAAAGTTTCATCCCACAAGTCACCTGAAAGAGCCCCACTTATTTTACAGATGGTTTAAGTAATGGCATTGCAGCCTACTGGGGCCCTTCTTCTCAATACTTTCAAACTTGCTATACCTCTGCTCAGAAGACAGAAATATTCATAACCATTCTAGTGTTCAAAATGTAAAACCGCCTATTAATATAATCAGCATCTCAGCAGCCATTAACTGTCTCGTTTTGCTCTATTGGGCACTCCAACACATCTGAAAGTGGCCCTGCTTCCACTAGCAGACTATTTCCCAATTCTTGTCAAGATTGGAATTATTCATCACATAAGTCATTTCCTCCAACTCTCAGGGCAAGGCCCTCTTTGAATGAGCACAAGGCATCCTAAAATCTCAATGACTAAAGCAGAAGGGGGAGACGAAAGGCACTACTTTACATGACAAACTTCATTTAGCTTAATTAACTCTAATCTTTCCCCCCTTACAAATGTTTTAACATAAGTAGGCCAGAGAAACATTTTTCTACCTTTACAGAGAAAGCTGAGCCAGAAAAGATCTGGTGGAAGAACAGTGGGGTATGGAAGCCAGGATTACTAATTTCTAGGAGCCGAATGTTATGATACATTTCAGAAGACAGAAAAAAAAAAGATGGATTACCCTTGGGAGAATGTGACCCTGTGTGGAGAAAAATGAAGAACAGGGAGCAGAAGAAAAAACATCACAATCCTCTCTTAACACTGATGCTGTCCCCGAGGATACTAACTGCCTATAAGCAGGATTATGTGCACAGGGTTTTTGCAGGAGAAAGAGATTGATAGATCATTCTTTTATTTATTTTTATTTGTTTTGTTTTTCTTTTTTCAGGGGAGAGCACGAACGCAGTCCCCCTCTACCACAAATTATGCAGTTGAGTTTCCCACATTTGGGGAAATCGCAGGTGTCAGCATATCCTGAGTGCAACGGGTGAGCCTCGCCCTGGGAAAACCATCTTCGTGATCATGGTATCTGCCCTGCCACGTAAGTATGATAGATCCCTCTTTAGCAGATGCGACCTAGGAAGTAGCAGCAGCTGACGGTGAGTTGGAAAGAGAGCCCAGAGACCTCATTTCTGTTGCACATGCTATCAAAAAATGTCAAAAGGAGCTTGCAGACTCATAAGAATTGCAATTGCTGCCTTTCTCAGACTTACAAATACTTCTACCATTGCTGCTGTTGCCAGAAGGGCATTCCAGGACTCCATCAAAACTGAACATTCTATGTAAAAATGACTGAACTGCTGCAGACTGTTCATTTGCTAGAAGATCAAAATTATGCACTTATAACATCCATTGATGCTAAAATGGACTAGAGCATTAAAAAAAATTATGTAACCCCTTATCCATGTATAACCTTACTTAACTGGGCTTTAATTAGAAACCATTTGCAAAAAAAAAAAAAAAAGAAACCATTTGCAGGGATTTAAGGGCAAAATCTCATTAGATATCAAACAGCTAAAAGAGGAGATTTTAATACACTTAAGGATGGATTAAAAACAACCCCTATTTCTGACATGATGAAACAATTGGTGGATGGGCTGGGGGAACTTAACCCACGTGCCTAGGTTCAAAATATCTCGCATAGCTTAAGTTCTGGTCTGACTGTATTATTTATTGTCATTATTTTTGCCTTGCAGTCAGAAGGCTTCCAATGTTTTGAGAGAAACAATATTGCCTGTGTAGCCCTTTAAAATTTAAAACAAAAGGGGGAAATATGGGAAACTGAGACCAGGAAGAGAGGGTATTCTAGACCTTACAAACTAGCATGCTCGCTCTCTCTCTCTCTCTTTTTTTTTTTTTGTTTTCAGGAATATATATATATATTTTTTTAACATTTTATTAGGGGCTCATACAACTGTTATCCCAATCCATACACACATCAATTGTGTACAGCGCACTTGTACATCGTTTCTCAAAACATTTTCTCTCCACTTAAACCCCCGACATTAGGTCCTCATTTTTCCCCTTCCTCCCCGCTCCCCCCTCCTTCATGAGCCCTTGATAGTTTATAAATGGGTATTTTGTCATATCTTGCCCTGTCCGACATCTCCCTTCACCCACATTTCAATGTCACAATAGGATGTTTAATAATGCACTGAAAAAATGTTAAATGTTTTCTATTTCAAATGGTAATTGCATAATGTAATCTTCCAGTGTAACTTCTGGGGGGGTAATTTTATTTGTGCATCTATGAAGATGGTTTATACTAATAGTCATAAAACCAGGATAATCTGTTAAAATTCCTAATGTAAGGCATTTATGGCATCGTGGATTACACACCAGCTGCTCTGGAGGAGTAAGATGTGGCTGTCTTGTTCCTATAAAAACGCACCACCTTGGGAATCTTGGGGACCAATCACACTCTGTCCTATTGACTTGATGGCAATGGATGGGAATAACAAAAAACTGAAGCATTATACACACACACACACACACACACACACACACACACACACATATACACACACATATATATGTTAAAGTTTCTTCCTCAAACTGAAAGAACATATACACGACGCTTTTTGTAGACTTTATATTCCTGATGGATCAAGTTTGTCTGCTTTGAGTTTAAGTGGACGTAAATAATTACTGGATGCAAATTTCAAGTGTGCTGATTAAATGGCACAGCCCTAAATTAAAAATGGAAAGGAAAAAAGGCCAAAATACAAAAGTATGACCTATGATTCTTTTCATTTATTTTAATTTTTTAATACATCATTTTAATGGGGGCTTGTACAACTCTTATCACAATCCATACATCAATCCATTGTGTCAAGCACATTTGTTGCCATCAACATATTCAAAATATTTTCTTTCTACTTGAGTCCTTGGTACCTATGATTCTTTTAATAAAGTATCTCCAGCTTGTGTTTCTCTTAAGTTACTGATAACGGTAAACTTTTTAAAGAAACTTATCTTACTCTTACAGTCTGTGATTCATAGGCATTTAAAACTAAATTTCCTCATGCTAAGCAAGCTTACCAGTCTGTGGGAACATATGTTACAAATATTACCTATGCTTCCTTCCGTGTTTTCTAGCTTTCCTTCTTCCAATCCCATCCTTTCTCCTCGTTAAAAATAACAACTTTGGCTTTGAGATAAAATGGCTGATAAATATGTCTTGAACACTTAAATTTTGTTTTGTTACTAGAACAGTACTACAAATAAACTGGAGGCAAAAACTCATTACAGAGTAAACAGTCTGGCCTTTGATTCTTGTTACAGATAGTGATAATGCATAACCCAGTGGAAAATGTGCACCCCAATATGCCTTCCTCTTTGAATTAACATCTTTTCTATTCGGGGGAAGGGATTGAGTTTGGCTTAGACCAAGGCTAAAATTTTTGGTCTTTCTAGTTTAGGGTATAATTTGAGAGGAGAGGTCTCTGAAAGCTACAGTCCCAGAGATACCATCTGCACTTGCGCAGGTAGACATCTGCTTTCCTTCATGTTTTAGTTGCTGTTAGCTACCACTGAGGTGATAGTGACTGGTAGAGAGAGACCTCCTGCATAGCAGGACAAAGCTCGATCCAGTCCTATGCCATCCTCACAACTGTGCCTATGCTTCAGACTACTGTTGCAGCCCCTGTCCATCTCACGGGCCTCCACTGCCCCTCTACTTTACCACGGAAATGAGAGCAGAGGAAGACCTGCTATTGACACTGCCCCGAAGAACAAAAGGTGTCAACATTCTCTTACTACAGGCATTTTGTGAGCCTATAATGACCCATAATCCCTTCTAACAAAAGAATTGATAGAAAATGCTTCCACGGTTACTTTCATTACAAGTTCTTCATATGGTACCCCAAAAATGTTTTAAGCAGTACAATGAGAATAGAACCAAAAAGCCCACTGCCATCAAACTGATTATGACTCATAGAAACCTGTCAAACAGAGTAGGACTTTCTAACAGTGTTTCCATGGTTGTAAATCTTTACCAAACCAGACGGCCACATCTTTCTCTCACAGAGTGGCTGGCGGATTTTAACCAGACACATTTTGGTCAGCAAAAGAGCACTCTGTGTGTTGTATCACCAGAACTTAATTCACAGTGACTCTAGTCTTTTCGGGAGAAGCAAGCTTCACCTTTCTACCACAGAGTGGATGACCCTCTGCTTAGCAAGCCAACTCGTAACCCACTTCACCATCAGGGCTCTCTAATGAGAACAGAAGAACATTTTCTCCAATAAGAGCAGCCACAAGTGAGTAGTCATTAAAAATGAAAAAAAAACACACACGCTATGTTAAACTAATGAATTGAACCAGAAAATATACAATTCATAGAAATTAAAAGAGTAAAGAAAAAGACTACAAACCTATCAAATTATGGCAAAAGTTTCTTTTTAAAAACACTTATAAGACACTATATATAAATCCCTTAATAATGTTACTGAGTATAAAATTCAAAAGTAGTAAAGGTAGAAATAATTTTAGTATGGTAGAAATTGTTGATTAGATGACATCTAAAACATGGTATGAAAGAAACATCAGTTGTCATTGAATTGTTGACTCCTGGGAACTCCCACTGAGTCAACTCCTGTTCATGACAATCCCAGGCCTATCGGCGTAGAACTGTGCTACACAGGTTTTTAATGGGTGAGGCTTTAGAAGTCGATCACTGGACCTTTCTTCTGAGACACCTCTGGGAACCTGAATTGCCAACCTTTCACTTAGTGTCTGAATACTTAACTGCTTGCACTGTTCAGGCACAAAATATATACCATAATAAAATTTATTATCACACACATTTTAAAAAACAAAACAACTTAATTTCTATAGCACCTGTTTGAGCAAAACCTCTCCTCAATGTTCAACTATAATGCTATCGATTAAAAACTTCATGTGTAACACACTTTGTTTTATATAATCTGATTTAATACTCAAAATAAGCATATTTTAAGTTAAAATGTTGAATTACCAAATTTAATAAACTCATAAAATACTAGTAAAAATCTGCCTATAATAATTCTCCCCAGAGAACATTACAAGTAGTTTATTACCTTTTTAGACATCTAAAATAACGAATTTAACTCTATAACTCTCTAAGTTTGGAGAGCTATTACTGATTGCCTTTCAATACTTTTACTAACTCATCAGCATCTCTACTAGAAATAAAAGGAGGAAAAAGACCAGAACAAACAAACAAACAAACAAACAAAACTACAGTATGTTGATAGCACTGACATTAAAAAAAAAAAGGAGAAAGGAAAAATGCTAGATGGAATGTAGCTACAAGTAAAAGTTAGCTTATCATTATCAATGGATTTCATTTTTGGATTATTAGTATAGATCAAGTACAAGTTAAATTTTAGTACTAAGCTGAAATGGCAAAACATGACAACTGGTAAAAACAATTCACTAAAACCAACCTCGCTATCTCTTCTCGATGAGCAGTCCAATCTCGGATGTAGTCTTCCTGCTCTTTTATCCGATGCTTGAATGAAGAACTAGTAGGCATAGCGGATCCAGTGCTCTGCAAGCGAGTCGTTTTCAGGGCTGGAGAAGTACGTAGACGAGTATGTTTAGGGGAATTACGGTTTGATCCAAATTCATCTTCTGAGGTGGAAGCATAATCAGTAGGAAAGCGCCTCCATCTTGAATTTACTAAATTAGTTTAATTATTAAAAAAAGAGTTATTATGTTATCTTTTCAAGGCGATAAAATAAAAATCACGATTTCAAAAGCACCATGAGTACACACAGCACAACTTTTAATAACATACACATACCTCACAAAAACTGATAATTCTACTACTCATTAAAGAGAGGAACATCACACATTGTGAAATAAAACAATGAATAATTTAAACCAATTGAAAGACTGTGTTTTCTCTAGCATGGTAAACAGACATTCAGATGAAAAATTTTATTAATGATAAGCGGCTAGTAAGCTCTATTCAAAGTGTTTACCTTGGAGACTGTCTAATAGCAAATATTTAATCTCATGTGAGTGAATATGTAGATTTTGTTTTAAAAAACGAAAGCAACACAAGACACCACCACCACCAAAACAACAAGGGAAGAGACATCCTCATGCCACATAGACTTTCAAAATGGAGATGATAAAAACTTTCTTTTCCCAACATACAAATGTGCATAATTCCTGCGCTGGAAATTATGCCTTTATGGCAAAAAAAAAAAGGCGAAAACAAAAAACATTACCTCTGTCATTCAACATCCTGTTATGCTATGGTTGGAAAAAATCTTTTTACATGGTAAAAAATAATAACCACACAACAAAGCATCTTCGGTATAACTGCAGCTTTGACACTGAAAGCATATAGACATGGTGAGAAATAGACAACGGTCTAGAAACCTAAAAGAAGCGGATCTTTACAAGTTAGTCTCACAGCACTGACATTAAGCAAAGGAGGTACTGTGGGTAATCACATTAAAGAAGGTGGAAATCACTTTCTCCTTTACAGTTAAGACAGATTTAAAAATGTTATTGGTGACATGTTGAAAAATTAGAAGACAGCGCAGACACTTTTGTTAATATGAGAATCAGGCATATAAATAATTTCTTATGTGTAACTAAAGATAACAAAACAAAACAAAACAGAGAGGTAATAGTTACTTCATGGAAAATATGAGGCCAGAAACCATGTGTATCTTATGAGTGGTCATATATACCTAGCACTCAGAAGTAAATCTGCCCAACAGGTATTTATTTCTTCAATAAATGTTTTTGAGTAAATGAATGAATTAATGGATACAGAGAACATATGCATTTCTAAAATGAGGAGAATTCTACTATACTATATGAATGCTTTTGGTGGTTTATATGAAAGCTTAGCATCTGCTAAAGTAAGTTATGCTGTTTTTAAAATATTAGAAGAGTTCTTTTTTTCTCATTTTCTAACACAAACTCACTAGTGTAGTATGCTGGTCTATTCCAAAATCCCTTTATCCTAACAAAACAAAACAAAACAAAAAAACCACATTGTCCCATGAAGGCAATTCCTACTCATAAGAACCCCACAGGGTAGAGTAGAACACAGCACTGCTCCCCAGAGTTTTTGTGGCGATGTATCTGTACAGAAACAGGAAGTACTTGGTGGATACAAATAGCTGACCTTTTAGTTAGCAGTCCAGTGCTTAGCCCACAGAGCTACTAATAGTTTGTATCTTGCATGTTTCTTCCTCATATTTTTCTGCAGAGAAGGATTGAGGCCCTCTAAAATGGAGTTATTCATCTAAGACATGTTGCCACTAAAGTTGGCTTAAGAAATAGATATCTAAACATTAGTGACTACCAATTTGTTGTGATTCACATTCCGTATTGCTTTTCCCTATCTCCAACACCTGAGGCTGTGAGACCCTGGCTAAGAAAGGAAAGGCATATCCAGAAAGCTCATTACGTTCTGAAAAAGCACATGCAGACACATACACAGAATAATAGATAAGTAATCAGATTTTTTACAGGGGAGCTTAAGTATAATTGCTGATTTTACTCATTTTCAAACATTTAAAAATTTTCTGAACTGATTTATCCTCATGATACATGTGTTAAACGTGTATATTTTGTAACATTAAAGTTTAGAAACAAAAGGAAAGAGGCTCAGGAAAAAAATTAGGAATGTAGCAAATGACCTGCCAGATTTGTCCTTTTAGATTAAACCTTATTTTTGATTGGAAAACTATAATCACTAAGCCTATTACTGAAGATTGAAAAACACAGTAACAGAATTATAGTAAATTAGATAAGATACTAAAATATAAACAAATATGATGGTGGTTTATTTACAAGTAATTTAATAAGAACGTTATCAATAACTGGTATGCTTTATGAACGACAAAGGACATGAAAGCAGAATGAGACACTGAGTATCAAGTGTTACCAATGAACGTGGCAGAGGACACACAGGACATTCTTATGAAAACTTCTTAGCGATAACAAAACCCCCTAAGAAATGAAATCTCTGGGGGCGGGGATTAGGGGAGGTGGGGAGTTTCTGGACTATAGTCTCTAGGGACAGCAAAGTCAAGTGGCATAACATAGATCACAGAGACAATGTTCCACATCCACTTGGGTGAGCAGCTCAAAGCTCAGATACTAAGGCGGAACTATTGGTCTTTCCTTGTTTAGAACAAAGAAGACAAATGAAAATCCAAAGGTAAAATATCGCCCTGAAAGAATTAAGATGGTGCCCTGCTATGAATACCAAATGTCCTGAAAACGATCTCATTAGAAGTTTCTGGATAGAGTGTAAGAAAAATGTTGAAACAGAACTCAAAAATCATAAAAGAAACCCAGTTTACTGGCTGGACAGAAAGTGGAACTGCTAAGACAATGGCTCATACTCACCCTGCAGATGTGGAACCAACCTCATCCTCATGCTAGAATAAGATAAAAAGGGCAGCAATGACGCAAGGCCAAGCTTGGGAAGTGCTAGGAAGAAGGATGAACAGAAGCTACAAACACTGGCAAGTGAGATAAAGGAGTGTACATCGGAGGGACTGTAATGAATGAGACGAAACAAACTGTGTAGGAATTGAATATAAAACAGGCGCTCTGTTCTATAGACATTCAGCCAATTTGGTTTTTCTGTCTGTTTCTTCTTTCGTATGCTACTATGCATATGGAACCCAGCATAGGTAAGTCTAGAGAGAATAATTGGATTAATAATTACCTAAAGGCATGGCAAGGAGGTTGAGGGGGGCAACAGAGAACTAATAACAAAGAAAGAAAGAAAATGTTATAAAATGGTACACTTTGAAGCAAATTGTGGTGATAACTGCACAAGTCTTCTTGAATTGTTTGATATCTGAATTATATGACAATGAAAAGATTTTTTAAAAATTCAGCCAATCGATAATAAAATTAAAAGATACCCCCCCACCCCCAAAAAAAGGATGATAGAAAAGTGCATGTGTTATAAATTTTGGACCACCTGTAGTGTGAATCAGAAAAATAATTACATTACACTGTGGGAGGTAGAGAGAAAAAACTGTTTTCAAAAGAAAATCATAAACATTTACCTATTTTTATAGGTTAACTAACCTTCTAAAGATACCTTCAAAAATGAAATGTAGTCAAGGAAGAAAGCATATTTTAAAAACAGGTATCTTTACTTTTGTTCTCTGATAATAAGGACACAAGGACAGCATGAAACACCAAAGTACATGAAAGGAGGTAGCACAGATGGAAATATCCAATACTTCTTCAGGCTACTAAGGGATGCGATTACCAAAGGGAAACATGTTTTATATAGCGTGCTATGAAGTAAAGCTCAAGTTACCTGCCATCTCTAATAGCAGAGAGTAAAAGATAAGATTGGGTGAAATGACAATTATCAGTGAAAAAAGGGCTGGGAAAGGGTATTTACAGCTAGGAACGCTAGCCTCTTTACTTATTTTTTTAAAGTTCTTTAAAAACCTTTTGCTTTATCTTTGCTTTTAAACCATAATAACTATAATTTACAGAGAACTGTCTAAGAACTGTCAGTTAAAGGAGAGAAAACCTCAAATCAGCATGTTTTTCATTTTCCCCAAACCTTCTGATTGCATATTGTTACTACTAGAATGATCTTAAATATGAGAGCCTAGATCCTTCAAACTGGCCATCTAATTTGACTTGTTAAAATCCTAGTGTAAGGGAAAAAAATCATAGTGTAAGATCTCTTTACTCCCACAGTTGAAAACACACAAGTGCTTCAAAATTAAATGTTATAAAACCTTACTCATATATTTCTAATTAGATTTAAATAAAACATTTGCAACCTCTCATAGAACGAGTTTTTCTTGATGGAAGTGTAGAAAACCTTTTTACTTTTTCCTACTGAATTTGAATCTGCTTAATAAAATCCTTTATAAATCTAACCATAATTTCATATAATTAAGTTCATTTGATAGTAACAGAAATATTAATAAGGGATTTAAGATACACTAAATGAGTAAATGTATATTGAAGGGATTTGAAATGCCAGTTTCTAAGAGATGACTTGAAGGAGCCCTAGTGGTTATGCATTGGGCTGCTAGCTACCAGGCCAGCAGTTCGGAACCACCAGCCACTCCTCAGGGAAAAAAAAGGGCTTTCTACTCCCTTAAAGAATGACAGTCTCAGAAACTCACAGGGGGCGGTTGCACCCTGTCAATAGCATTGCTAGGAGTTGGAGTCGATGCCTTGGTTGGTAAAATGCAGGCAAGCCATCTAGTAAATGAGATCAAGCTCCGAGATAGTGTTACTTATCTTAATCTTACAGAGCACCTGAACCTAACGCAATAATCCCTCCTGCCGAGGTATTAAGAATAGATTCACTATGGAAGCATTCATGAGATCAAAGGAATTAAAAGGCAGAAAAAGGTTTTAGAGTCATCTATATGTGAATAGAGTCATCTAGATGTGAATGCTATGATTTCTTTTAGTGTTAACCAAAACATCTTTGACATTAATACATCTTCAGATTTAAACAATACTTTCAGAAAGCAAACATAACCCTTTTATACTTTATATCAGAATATTTCAGTTGGAAATTAAATTAAAAACATGTTTACAAGTAAATTTATGTGCACGTAGAAGAAAGATAATTTAGGAAGATCCCTGTAAATTTTGTTTTATATTTTGATCAAGAGGAAGAAATAATTCAAGCCCTGCATGCTCATATAAAATTACTACCATCTATAAATGTTGAGGATCAGAATAAAAAAAGAGAGAGTAAAAGTCTACGAAAATATTTAAGGGAATTAACATGTTTTCCTTCTCTAGGATATGCATTGAAAACAATTATGAAAACCAACTGCTTTAATAATCTAGGGTATATCATTTTAAACCTATCTTGTTAAAAACCTGAATCTCTTCTAACATTATTATTACAATATAGTTCTTTAAAAAATAATTATACATTTAAACCATACTGTTAATTTCATAAAATGACATGATAGTTATTTACTGCCGCTTGATACTGACAGACTACTGAAGAAATTTGAATGGAAAAGCATTAACACTAAAATGCAAGTCACATTAGTGCTAAAGAGACACAGAATAATTCTTATCTTTCATTTGGCTAAGTCAGAGATTTCTGATTCTCTGTATGTGTCATCTACATGTATTTAAAAAAGAAATTTTTCATTTTTTAGCCAAAGCCTGAAGTGTAGAATTTGAAATAGTACAGTTATGTTTACATATGCCAACAGGCTCTGGGTTTAGCTCATTTCAAGATCTTCAAAGTTTACTCTGGTATAGCAATATTGATCAGCCTTATTTCTTATTAAACAGAAATCATAATTTTAAAGATACTCTATTTAAAGGTATCAAAAAGGCCCATTTTTATTTGTTTGAAATCACCTATCCCTTGTGACTATTTAATACGACCCCGCTGACTGTTCCCTGGGAGAATCTAAATACACAAGCCTGGATCACAATGTGGTTTTGGGCCCCAAGGCAGAGAAGAGAACATGAGCAGTTGGGTAAAAGAAAGACACAGATATCCCTGTGGACAACAACAAAGCCTTCACTGTGCATGAGGGCTTTACTCCTAATGTAATTTCATACGCCTGGCTGTCCTCTGAGCGCTTGTACAGAAATCAGCACTCAGGGTATCTTGTAGAGCTAGAAGGAAGGTGGTAGGAAAGGCAAGTGGCTAGAAACTCAGAAATTTGTATTTTATCTTGTCCTCCTCTCTCCGGCCATTACGTAAATTCCAACTCACAGTCGTTCCACAGGGCAGAGTAAAACCAGAGCAGCAAGACTCTTTCTCTCAAAGAACATTAGTCCTTCTTGTTTTCACACTTCTGCTCACACTGTGGTTACCAACCCACAGCCCAACAAGTAACCATCGACCCATCGGTCTCCACCAGGGCTTCTTAACTATGTGAACTAGACAATTAATTTCATCGCTTAACCTTAGTTCACCAACTGAGTATCTATTACAGATAACATATCCTTCAAGTTCTTAAATTTGGTGGTTCTATTTAATACACTGTATCAAGTACGAGGAAAGGAAAAGTCGTTTTTATAATCTGCCCTAAGAAATTTAACTAAGCAATTCAATGCACTTTTTAGACATAAGAGTGCTTACCAAGTTCTACATTTAAACCCAAACTTACTGCTGTCGAGTCAATTCTGACTCATAGTGACCCTAGATGAAACAGCGGGATTGCCCCTTTTGGTTTCCAGCCTGTAAATCTTTACGAGAGCAGAAAGCCTCATCTTTTTCTCACATTGAAAGGAACAGAAAACAAATTTTATCTTTAAAGATATAATAGAATATGGCATTTTCTAGCTTTTTACTTCAGATGTGCTGAAGTAATATTTTATTTGAATTTCATGTAAGCACTCATGCTAAATACTGAGAAAACCAGACCAATCGTGTTAGGAGCAATCCACCAGCACAGAAGGAAGAGGTGCTCCAGGTCATGTGGTAACATGCCACTTAAGTGCAGCTTATGCTTGGACAGGGGAAGAAAGATGTTCACATACCTAATAGAGATAAAATGACTAAACAAATCATTGGCAGAAGAAATTTTACCAGAGCACACACAGAGAATTCAATTCAAAGAAAGTATGAAGAGGTAGAGCCATAAAGAATACAATGACAAGATAGAAAACACATTTAAAAAGTTTATAAATACTTGGTAATAAATTCATTAGCCACCAATGAAAACAAAACATTGGACATGTGGAAACAAAAAAACCCTGAGTTATAAGGGAAATTCTATTTATTGTTTTTGGAACTATAATCATATGCTTTCTACAGCCTACGGCCATAGCCATCATCATTCAACCCTCTGACCAGCAGAGATGTAAAGATAATTAGAATGGAAGAAAACAGCAATGAAGTGAGATGGAATAAAAAGTGAAATCTGAAATATGTGTGAAGTTCCAGGAGTTCTAAGAATTCTAGGACATCTTATGATAAAGATAAACCAACTATCAATAAAAATAAGATTGCATACCACCTCTCCTTCCAATGAAGACTTACAGCTTATCTAGAGGCTTGAAGTCAGACACTAACTATAAATCTTCAGTCTTATAAACAGCTGTTTCTCCCACTAGTCTTTTTAACTACACCCACACATTAAGCTGATTATGACATAATGAGACCATGCTTACAAGATACACACAATTACTTGTCTCATGACTCTGATCACACATGTATACTCAGTAGCTTCAGTTTTAAATATAAAGTACACATAAAGACAAAGGTAACCAAACAGCCAGATTCTGATAGCTTTATGATATTTAATTACATCTAATTGTTACATCTAGGAGCTATTGGTGGTATGGTGGTTAAAAGCTGGGCTGCAATCCACATGATCAGCAGTTCGAAACACCAGGAGTTACAAGGGAGAAAAACTGGGCTTTTCACTCCCATAAGCAATGACAAACCCACAGAGGGTCGCTCTGAGTCAGCACTGACATGATGGCAGAGAGTGAGAATTATTACATCTCAATACTGTAACTATACCTAATGAGATAAAGCACACAGTCCAGTTTAAATTCCTACAGATCATTTTGAATCACATGCTTTATGTGACTGCCCTATTCACCATCTTTAGTTGAATAAATTAAGGGGTAGTTTCTACCTGCCCAACCATAAACAGGCTTGGCTTTCAAGTTTAAAAAGTGTCAGTAAGGTAAATGACCCATTCCAAACTAATCATAAATAGGTGGTGGGGAGGGGCATGTATGTAAATATAGATAATTTCATTTAGTTCTGAAAGGAAAAATTGCTTATTCCAAGGACATAATTTTCTTCACAATTTTAAGGACTCTGAACTATGAAAGGATATTTAAAAGTTAAAAACATGCTTTAAGAAGCACAATGTTAAGTCGTACAATTTAAACCAGATAATAAAATTCCAAACCTACATTTGACACACAAATCCACAGATGGCCAATTGAATGGTCAACATTTCTAAATCACCTCAATGTAATTCTAATTTTGAAATCACTATTTTACCCCATGACATTACTGGAAATCAATGTCTGAAGTTTTCATTTATTAAGTCAAGAAAAAGTATTCAATGTTTATAGAAAAACAAAAACTGCTCTGTATCACACTCTGTTTAATATTTTGGAAATACAACAACTAGAAAGTTATTATTTTAAAAATACAGACAGCTCAAACACAGAATATGCTAATATTAGAAAAAGTTGGGAACCAATTTACCTGAAGGAGAGCCATGCGATGAGGCCATACTTTTGACCTTGGAGTCTGATAACCGAGAGATACTGTTCGCTCTAGCTCTAGGAGAAAATTTATCCGATGGTAGCAATCTGGCTCCACTTCTAATGATGGCTTCCGCAGTACGTGAAGCGGCACTACTTCTAGATATTGTTGCTTCAGAGTCACTACGAGCAGATAATGAGCCAAGCCTTGTTCTACGAGGCTGAGCCAATAAATCAATCCGAGAGATGTTGCGCCTTCCCGTGGGAGGTTTTGATGTTGAACTTGTGGTGGATACCTCAGAAGCAACAGATGCTTTGTCAGCATCAGCTAGCTCACTGTCTGAAGCTTCACCAAGCCGTGCTCGGCGCAACAGGGAGGTCCTGGTAGGTCGTGGCCTTGGAAGAGTGGTTGATTTACTGGATGAACCAGATGCAACAGGAGATGTCTTAGACTTAGTTACCTTACTTCCTTCCAGTTTGGAATGCACACGTTCATCAGTTGAGGTAAGTGGAGTCCTTCCATGAGGTTTACAAGAGTATGTTTCCTGATCAGATGACATAATATCTGAGATAGCAGAATGAGGTACACTAGAGGTTTGATCATCATCTGTTAAATCTACTGAAGGCTGTCTTATTCTTCCACTGGACTGTACAAATTTACGACCATCTGCTCTTGAACCTACATCGGCGGATCGGCTTTTTGTTTTCTTCTCAATCTTCTCCCTAGCACCTGAAGATGATGACTTTGTAACATCTTTGGAAGGGGAACCTGAAGAACACCTATCTTTATAGAGACTAGTGAAACTCTTTCGTTTTTGAGTTGACTTTCTTTCAGTCTCTCCAGTAACCAGACTGATCGTACTAGCTGTATCCACATCTGATTCTGGGGAAATAGAATTGTCTCTATTATAACTGGGAGTATCTGGGCCTTCATCGGTTTTATTATCTTCACGCAGTTTAGCTTCTAGAAAAGCCATTACTGCTTCTGTGTCTTTGAGAATAAGGGTTGTGTCCATACTAGAATCAGTATCCATAGGGTCACTTCTATCTCGAATTCTACTTGCAGAGGCTAATGATAAAGAAGAGGGAGCGACGGAAGACTGTTTATTTATATGGGGAATAAGTTCTATGGGGATGTTTGAGCTAGGCTTTTCTATGGTGAAGCTTCCTTGTCGCACGAGTGACTTGGAAGATTCCTTCTTGTCTCCTCCCTTTGAAGTTTGATTTTTAAGGACGTCCTCAGCTTTTCTTCTTTTGCCCTCATTCTGTGTCACCCTTTCTCCTTTGCCCGTAAAAGGGCCAGCAATGTTTTCTTGAGGCTGTAGCTCGTGTTTAAGAGACTCTTCCCTGCATTTGTCTATGTGACTTGAAACATTTTTTGAAGATGACAATTTAGTGGGCGTCCACTCTGCCTGCTCCTTTTGTTCTTGTTGCTGAATTTTAGCTAAAGTTTGCTTTACCAAAGAAGTTTCCTTAGCAGTCTCATTTTTCTCTCCTCCAGGAGAAGAGCTGCCTAAGTTAAACATTTTGTTGTCTCCAGTATTCTTAAGAGTCTCACCATTTACCGTCCTGTTCATTTTACTCAGGGCTCTGTCAGCATCTTGTTTACCTTTCTGGGATACCTGTGTGGGAGTTTCTTTCTCCTGAAGCTCCGTGTCTTGTTTTTCTCCTATCTCTGACCTATGCGTTATAAGCTTTGCCCTGGGATTTTCAAGAGGCTTTTCTTCATTTGGAAGCTGGGGAAGGGCTCTTCTCCTTCTCTCTCCTTGGCCAGCCAAAGAAGTTGCTGCACCAGTATTTCTCACTGAAATGCCAGATTCACCAATGTCTGTGTTGATAAAATAAAAACAACAAATATGAAAGCCATCAGGGTAAAATGAAACACATTTAAAATAAATAATCTAGTATTGTGATCAAGTCATTTTATTTACATTTTCATTATTTTTCAACTTTTTTTTTAGTGAACGGGGTGAATATTTACAGAACAGACCATTAGTTTTAAATCCTAAAATTCACACATTTTCTATCACCTCGTCCAGTGAAATCCCTTCAATGTAACATCACTTATCTCACTTCTCCTTTTTCCAGTTTCCACTCTCCTAACTCTTCTGAACTTTGCCATTGGGTAAATGACGCTTAAAAAAAATCTTAAGTGGTAGATTATGCTATGGTGTGTGCATATCACTAGTGTTATTGTGAATATACGAGGGGGTACCCAGCAAAAAAGTGGAGCTCCATCCCCCCCGAAGCTATATATTTAAAAATTTTTTACAAAACAACCTTATCACCTTCAATATACTCCCCATTACACTTAATACACTTGCTAATTTTGCAATTTCATTCTTGAAAACACTTTTGAAACTCATGTTTGGATGGCTGCCAGCACCTCCCTTGTTTTTTCTTCACCTCCTCTGTGTAGTCAAATTTCTGTTCTTTCATGTCCCTCTTCATTTGCAGAGACAGAAAGAAGTAGCATGAGTGAGGTCAGGTGAGTCAGGTGCATGGGGCAAGAGAGGCATACTGAAATTGAAAGCTTGATTAACAGTCTGATTAACCTGGTGGAACAAACGCCAAATGCACTCTCACCTTCACATAAAAAAAAAAAAAAACCCAAATGAGATCGCACTGATCTGTGATTTTATTTGGCAAGTTTTGGGGCAAGGTGTCTTCCACTGGCTTGATATTTGCTTTTGGGGTTGCATCACCTGACCTTGGGAAAAAAGTCTGGGTCCCTTTGGAGCTGTTCTTTCAAAGCACGGCATGTTTCCAGGTAACGCTCTTTTTGCTGGTCAGTCAGAACCCAAGGCACAAATTTCGCAGCTACCCTTCTCATCCCCAAATCTTCGGTTAAAATTTGCTGAACCAAGCTCCAAGATAGTCCACGAAATTATCCCATCTCTTCAATGGTCTGTCGTCAGTCTTCAAGCACAAGTGCATGAGTTTTGTCGACTTTTTCATCCGTTCGGAAAGTGATGGGCGTCCAAAATGAGGTTTTTCATCAACTGACATTTCACCTTGATTGAAATGAGAAAACCACCTGTACACTTGATTTTTCCCCATAGCACTGTCCTTGTCAGCTGTGTTCAACATCACAACAGTTTCTGCGGCATTTTTCCTGAATAGGAAACAAAATTTCACAGCCACGCACTGTTCTCTAACTATTTGAGGTAGTTAGTTTATTGTGCCAACCTGGCCGATAAACACATGTGGGATTAATTGAAGGGTGGAGAGATAAACGGCTTGGCGAGCCTTGCCTCTCTTGTTTCTCGCTCTTTGATCATCGGACCAGTGTGTGGCTGCCTTGCTTGTTCTTTGCCTCAATTTGCAAGCTACACTACCTGTGGGACACCTAACCCGTTGGACTGTGGCGCTGTAATTTGTGGTTCCTTCAAGACCACACCATTGGAATTTACATCTTTTGAGCTGGGGACCCTGCCATCTGGCTGACTGTTGGTAACCTGCCTTGCTGTTTGCTGCCTGTGCCCAGAGAGCCTGAATTGCTCTACAGAGGACTAACTACCGGGCAGCCCTCAAGACTTGAAGGACTGCCAGTGTCTCACAACTGTCTCATGGGAGTGAGTTGCACTGAGCCATTTGTACTGCTTTATAATTTAATTGTTTATTTATTATGTTATATATCTATCCATCTGTACAAATATATATATTAGATTAGCATTCTGGTTTTGTTTCTCTAGAGTACCCTAACACACTACTTTTACGAAAAAAGTTCACTAACCAGAGAGAACCTTCCCAGGTGATGCCCGTGGGTGCACTAACACAGAGTGGGTTGCTCGATGCTCGCCTAGTGGGAAAACGAATACTACAAAAGCTCCACACAGCAGAGCTCTTTTCAGCTTTTTTGGGGGTACCACCTCATAATGTACTATAATGCACACTGAGAATAATACAGTAATATATAAATTTGTTTTTTATTTGGCTAAAATATATGCCTTGGTGGGAGTGCGGTTTGAGACCTAAAGGGTAACTAAAGGACACAGTGTTGGGAGTCGTATCAATAAGCCTGGATGCTTTAGAATTTTGAGTTTTGTTCCACGTTTTTCTCCCACTCTATCTAAGACTTTCTAATGAGATTCCTTTTAGAGCATGTAGCAGAGTATCCAGGCAATAACTACTTCTTCTGGTTTCAAGGTTGTGGACTGATGTTTCTGTGGGCCATTAGTCCATGGAACTAACTGTTCCCATGTCCCCACTGATTCTTCTTTTAATGTGTTTTATGTCTAGGCAGTTTACTATGCTCATTCTTGCTCATAACTTTTCCCATCTGGGAAGTTTTACTCAAGAAAACAAACTAGAATTAGGATATTATAGAATAGCACGGATAAAATAATATAGCACAGATAATACTGAATAAACATGGTTTGTTGTACTCTCAATTACAAAAGTAGGAAATGACATAATTAAAGTGGAAAATGCAGAATACTCTCAGAAAAATGATTTTTACCTTCTAAGGATGATTAAAAGAATGAGAAATTTTAAGACCATTTATAATTTTAGAAACAGATTTTTAACATTATGGCCTTCTGGCAAATGAAGGTCTCACATGAAAACAGATGACTTTTTTTGTTTCAACTAGGTAGAAGCCAGAGAGACCATGTATACTTTAGTTTTTCAATGTGAGGAAATTGAGTTTACTATTGTTTAAAATGAATTAATTTCTAGAAAAATGGTGTTTTAATGAAAATATAAACAAACATATACAGTACTCTAGGATTTTAGGGATATGTGGAAAAAATATAGTAGATATAGAATGGGTGGTACTTTTTTCCTTTATATCTCTACAAGTTTGTCATTTAAATGTCACTGCAATACAATGGGTACTACGCAAAACACAATGACTGATTAGATTTTAGCATTTAACTATATATTACTGTATTGTCTTATATACATACCTTAGCTCTTTAGTGTGAAATCAATCACCTAAAATGCAAAAACTATTTTATTTTTTACCATTCCCTTAACTACACTGCTTATACTAGACATCTGATATATTTCCAAAAGAATGCATTTTCAAATTTAAATGGAGTTTTTAGCTTAAGTAACTTATGTAAATAGATTTATTTAAATGTTCAGGAATGAGAAAATGAAGGTCAAGTAGAAAGTAAAATTATAACAAGAGTAGAATTTTTCTTTTAGTAGTTAATAATTGATATGTCTGTCCTCTCACACTCCATATACTCCAAATGGTGACTCATTTATGTGAACCAGTCTGCAAACTCCTCTCACTGGAGTAAATGGAGAGGGTAGGAAAACTGGTGAGATGCTTAAAACTGTTCAAGGCAATAAAACCGTAATATTTAATGCAGTTCCTAAGAAGAAAAGTGAAACTGATAAAAGAGCATCACCTACAAATTCTCTCTTCCTGTTTCTATCTTCAGTTAGCATTATATTTTAATTACATATGAATTAGTCAAAATAAACTAGTATGAACATAGAATATTTGCAAATATAACCAATTAACTTAGTTCACACTAATTAAAGTTTGTTTTTAAAAACTGTGATGTACGATTTTAGAAAAGAGAAAGAATACCGTGTTTTACAGGAGCAGGTGCAGATAAATCCACTATCTTTTCATCTTGATCATGTCTTGTATGATTAGCAGCCAAACTAGCCCACTGAGAAACCCAACGTTTAGTTCTAGGTGAAGATGTGCTTCCCTAAAGGCAAAAACAAAACAAAACCAAGAGAATGAATCAACATAGTTTGAAGTGATATGATTTTCACTAAGTCAAATACTATGTAGTCACTTCAATGTTATGCAATATAATAATTAAACTCCTATTATATATTATAATTTATCACATTTGGTTATAAAGAAAATGAAGTTTTTAAAAAAAATCACTATAACTCTTATCACAATCCATCCATCCATCCATCCATCCATCCATCCATTGTGTTAAGCACATTTGTACATTTGTTGCCACAATCATTCTCAAAACATTTGCTTTCTACTTCAGCCATTGGTATCAGCTCATTTTTTCCTCTCCCTCCCCACCCCATCTCCTTCATTGAACCCTTGAAAATTTACAATTTATAATTATTTTTCATGTCTTACACTGTCTGATTGTCTCCCTTCACTCACTTTTCTGTTGTCCGTCCCCCAAGGAGGAGGTTATATGTAGATCTTTGTGATCGGTTCCCCTTTTCTACCCCACGCTCCCTCCACCCTCCCAGTATTGCCACTCTCATCACTGGTCCTGTGGGGTTCATCTGTCCTGGATTCCCTGTGTTTCCAGTTCCTATCTGTACCAGTGTACATCCTCTGGTCTAGCTGGATTTGTAAGGTAGAATTAGGGTCATGATAGTTGGGGGAAGAAAGCATTAAAGAACTAGAGGAAAGTTGTATATTTCATTGATACTATACTGCACCAACTGGCTCATCTCCACCCTGCGACCCCTCCGTAAGGGGGTGTCCAGGTGCCTACAGAAGGGCTTTGGGTCCCCACTCCACGCTCCCCTCATTTGCGATATGATTTTTTGTTCGATGCCTGAGATACTACCTGATTCCATCAACACCTCATGATTGCATAGGTAGGTGTGCTTCTTCCATTTGGGCTTTGTTGCTTCTCAGTTAGATGGCTGCTTGTTTATTTTCAAGCCTTTAAGACTCCAGACGCTATATCTTTTGATAGCCGGGCACCATCAGTTTTCACATTTGCTTATGCACCCGCTTTGTCTTCAGCGATCGTGTCGGGAAGGTGAGCATCATGGAATGCCAGTTTAATAGAACAAAGTGTTCTTTTATTGAGGGAGTACTTAAGTTGAGACTCAATGCCCATCTGCTAACTTAATACTAATCCTATAAATATATGCACATAGATCTATTTCCCCATCCTCATATATATTTACATATGTATATGCCTTTATTTAAACCTCTATAAATGCCCTTTACCTCCTTGTTCTTTCCTCTATTTCCTTTTACTTTCCTCATGTTCCACGATCATGCTCAGCCTTCATTTGGCTGAGTAATTCCTCTCGGTAACTCTGCCCTTGATCAAGCCATATCAGGCCTCTTAAGATACTCTGCAAAATGAAGACTTTGACAGCTGTACCTCCTTTGACTGATAGTGTAGTGTGTGATGTGTTGGGCTGTTAACCTCAAGAGCAACAGTTCAAAACCACCAGCTGCTCTGCTGGTGAAAGATGAGGCTTTCTACTCCCAGCTTTCTACTCCTGTAAATAGTTATAATTGCAGAAACCTAAAGGCAACCCTATCCTATAGAGTCACTATGAGTCAGGAGTAAGAATTTTTGTTTTGGTTTAACAATAACATTTTACTGTTGTTGTTGAAAACATACTTTTCTGTATTTGATATGTTACACAAATACTCTTGGAACTTTATATTTCTTAGGCTGATACTGGCAAATTCAGATGTGTATCATGGTTTTGTGGCCACATCACGAAGCCAATTCTCCAGTCTAAGAACAGGAGGTCTAAAGGTTTATCTCAAAGTTATTCTCTAGCCCTTTAAATATCTTCAGAAGTCAGAACCATTCCAGAGTCTCAAGAAGTATTAAATCACATTTTCAAGGATTTCATCAATAAACTTGACCTCTGGATCTCTCTATATTTATAGAAGCTAAAAATACTCAACCTTTAAGAATCCTTCCATATACTGTTCTGGCCCTATTCCTGCTGATGTCCAGATGTGCCCTTAAGGTAAGCGCTCCTTGAACTTTGAAACAAAATTTAATTCATGTCCAAAGACATATGGACATCACTGATAATTCCTAAAATCAAGGCAATCTAGACCTTGGAAGACCTAAATTACATACATAGCATAATATAATAAGAATTGTGTGTATGTGTGTGTATATATATATACATATATATCACTGACCGAGTTAAATCTGACTTATAGTGGTCACATAGGAGAGTGTACAACTGGCCCCCACCCCCATGGATTTCCAAGACTATTAATCTTTACAGGAGTAGAAAACCTTAGTTTTCTTCTGTGGAGCAGCAATGGTTTCTAACACCAGATTTGAGATTAGCATCCCAATGTGCAACCACTATGCCACCAGGGCTCCAGTGTATGTGTATGCAATGTATGTATGTACCTATGTGTTTTATTTCACTACAAATCTAAGCCAAAGCTTAATACTGAAACTAGAATGAAAGCTACAGAATATAATGTCTGATTGGAAAATTATTTTGAACTATTAGAAATCCAGGTATGCCATGTTATGTCCACAATACCTTCTGGGATAGGATGTTACGTGACTTGAATGTTGTCCCAACAGCATATTACAGAAATAACAGAGAGGTATGCAGGAAGGGCCAGGAACCCAGGACATTGTGGGAAGGGAATGTAAAAAAACTAACTTCATTTCCAGTCACCTCTTAGCAGCACCCAGTCCCTGAAAGCCAGTCCTTGATTTGGCACCCAACTGCCACCCAACAAGGTGCCTCCAAGCTTCCTCACAATAGTTCCTATGTTTGAGCCCATTGTTGTAGACACTGTGTCAACCTATCTCACTGAGACCTCTATTTTGCTCATCCATAATCAAGCTTGGTACGCCAAGGACTTGTCTATCCTGATAACATGTCCAAGTATGTGCAACAAAGTTTTTCCTTCCTCGCTTCTAAGAAACTACAATGAAGTTAATTATTTAATATGTCCATTCTAATCATGGCCTTTGTTACTTCCACAAAATTACTTTTCCTTTTTTTATGGATCTGGGTAGGAAGGCAGGGGAATATACTGATTGTTATTATATGAAGTGATTGTTAAGAGGGTTAATTGTGATTGCCATCCTGCTGGATATAAAACCAGCCATCTCAGAAAAGGCAGACTTTTATTAAAGTTATTCTGTGAAAATATTAAAATACCCTGTTTAGGCAAAAACCTACATAGGCAAGGATACACTGGGGATACATATAAATATTACTTGGCTTGATTGAGTGGATAGAAACAAGTGAAGTAGTTTATTTAAGATTATATTCACAGGAGTATTTCCTGGATTAATCAAATATTGCATCTAATAATTATCACCTACTTTCAATAAGGAAACAAAACACTTTATAGATTAAAAATCAGGAAAAAATTCGCCAAGATCAAGGTGGGGAAAAAGATCACTAATATAGAATAATCACTTTGACAATATTTAGGAAATAGCAAGCCATAAAGGTATACCTTTAACATAAAGGTTTATTTACCTTTCTATAAAATCAATTTATTTTATTTATGAGTCATTTGGCCTATATAGGATTTTAGGATTTTTTTTAAAAAGATGGTTTTCTATTCATATTTATTTCATCTATATTAAATATATATACATATACGTGTATATATACATGTATGTATATTTCATATATAAATGTATATATTTAATGACCTTATTTCCCAAGAGCAAGTGTTAGCATAATGACTGAGTTGAGAAATCCAGGCTACTTATTGTTTAAATTTCATTGCACCAGGAATTAATTATAAGACTTAGATAAGTAAATTACTATGTAATTCAGTTTATTTATAACACAGTGAAAGCCCTCACTGAATATTAGCAATTATTTGAATGAATTAATTAATACGCCTAAGCGATATACATTTTTTTACTACATTTATTTTCTGTACTTTGGTATTGAATGAAATCCTAATGTCTTTACCGAGGCAAGAGATATTTGTTGAATACATACATTAGAAGCAAGCACTATGCTGGGTATTCTATGAAAGGGCTTCAAGAAGGTTAGTGGGAAAGTGGAATTTAAGATAATAGAAAAAATAGGAAAACAAAAGATAACAGAATTTTCCCACATATTTTGAAGCCCCCTTGTTGCTTCCCAGTCAGTTCAGACTCATAGTGATCCTTTAAGAACAGAGTACAACTGCCCTATAGGATTTCTAGGTTGTAATCTCTATGGAGACAGACTACACCATTATTCTCCCTCATAGTACCTGAGGTTCAGACCCCAGCATTTTGGTGGTTGGAAGCCCAGGGATTAACTACTGTGACACCAAGACTTCTTATACTTAATTAAATTTCATTCAAACAATTTTTTTTTGGCAAAAAAAAAAAAATTAAACAAATGAGCTGAACTACATTTGGTCACATGTCTTCCTAGCTCTACTGTATCATCCTATGTATTACATTAATCAAGCCTCCCTTAATTAATTCGACATTATTCTAATTACATCCTAGGCTATAGTGCTCTGGCAATTACTTAGTATACACGTTCTATCTCTGGGTCCTGGTGGTATAGTGGTTGCGCACTGGGCTGATAACTGTAAGGTCAGCCGTTTGAAACTATTGGCTGCTCTGCAGGATAAAGATGAAGCTTTCTACTCCCATAAACAGCCTTGGGAACCCACGGGGCCGTTCTACTCTGTCCAACATGAGTCAGAATTGACTCGATGGCAGTGGGGATGGTTTTGTTTTTTAAGTTCTCGCTATCAGGTACTACCTTACCCACACTTATTAGCATGACATTCAGGTCATTACAGTCCAAATGCATGATTTCCTAAGAGATATAAGCAATGTATAACTGTTAAGAATGGAATTATATCCCACAAAAGTACATTATAAATAGTAGTCAAATACCTGGGGATGTATATGGGCTATTATTTATAACTATATTTGGATGTTTTCTTTGTTAACGATGTCATTACGATTGTGGGGTATGTCTTAAACCGGTTACTTTAGAGCAGTGGTTCTCAACCTTCCTAATGCCACAACCCTTTAATACAGTTCCTCATGTTGTGGTGACCCCCAACTATAAAATTATTTTCATTGCTACTTCTTAACTGTAATTTTGCTACTGTTCTAAATCATAATGTAAATATCTGATATTCAGGATGTATTTTCATTGCTACAAATTGAGCATAAATAAAGCATAGTGATTAATCACATAAACAATATGTAGTTATACATTATGAAATATTTCTATTTATTTATTTACTTCTAATTACAAATAAATGAAATTTTGTCTTGAAGCATGGTGTAGGATGGGTAACAGTCCTAATATAATGTGTTAATATGTGTTTTCTGATGGTCTTAGGCGACCTCTGTGAAAGGATCATTTGATACCCAAAGGGGTCGCAACCCAAAGGTTGAGAACCACTGCTTTAGAGATAAAGAGAGATCAGGCACGGAATCAAGGATGGACAAAGACAGGGGCCTTGAGACATGAAGACAGTCAAGGAACCAAAGGACAGAAGCTAGAAGACACCAGGACCTCCCTCACAGCCAACAGAGCAAGAGTCCCTAGAACTGGTGCTCTGAAGACTGGCTTCCAGATTCCTAAAATGTAAGAAGATACATTTTGTGTCTTTAAAAAAAAAAGTGGTATTTCTTTGATATCAGAAAGAAACTAAGACAACAATATTTCTTGTTTTATTTCTTTTTTAATTATTTTTGGTTTTGTTGTTGTTTTATTTCATAATGCCACTTAGCACAGTGAACATACAGCCCAATAACTGTTTAACATTTTCTATACTGACTAAAGGATACTAATTTTAAAAACTTAAAATTATTGTAAAACTGTCCCAAGCTTTCATTAGAAATAATTGTGAGAACCGGCTTTTAGAAGTGTTTTACAAGGAAATTTATCAATTACGTAAGAAAAAAAAAGTACTTTAATACATGTAAAAAGTTGAGTAAGAGAGAGATGTATACCTCTGAGTTGTGGAATCCAGGTGTACTCAGTGGTTTCCTTTCTTCCATTTCTACTGCAGCAGAATTTAAAGCCCAATCTTTTATCAAATCTTTATGTTTTTCATTGATAGTAGGCCTATTGTAATCCTGACTGTCATCTACTCCAAATACCTAAGGGGAGAAATTATTTAAAAAATGAAGATGGAAAATCTGAGCACCAGATTAAGATGCAATTATTATCCTTAAGATCACAGACAAGTAAAAATATTCAAAATTCATTTCAGTGGGTAATTTCAATAATGAAGAATGCTTTAATGACAGGGTAGTAACCAATTACTGTGATGGTTGGAGAAAAAAAGAGAAAAGTGACAGCTTATGTAAACATAGCTATTTTTAATAATATAAAATATAATTTAAAATATAAACTTGATACAAATAAGAAATATTTAGGATATTACATATGATGTCTTAAGAGATGCTAACAATGCTGTAAAACATTACCATAAAGCAAACTGGTAGGTAGGAAAGAGTATCTTCTCAGCTTGCTTCTTTGCTTTATAATTTTTGAGAAGATGGAAAACTATAAACACAGGGCTAATTTTATTTGTGCCTTCCCTAATAACTAACATTAATATGTAAGTTAAACATATACATTTCTAAGGGCCCAAATAACAGATTTCACTGTATGATCTTTGTAGAGAATATGAGGGTAATAAAAGTATTGCTATTAAGGTTTCAGCTCCTATATATAAGGGTTTACTATAAGCAAAATGTTTTAAGCATATATCTGAGCTCAATAAAAGTTCTCAGTAATACATTTGTCTTAGTCTCATTAAAAAGGAGCCCTAAAAAAAAAGAAAAACAAAAAGAAGCCCTAGTGGTACACTGGGTTAGGCATTATTAGGCTGCTAGCTGCAACGTCAGCTGTTCAAACCCATCAGCCATTTCTGGTCCTGTAAAGATTTAGTCTCAAAAACACAAAGGCGCAGTTATACTCTGTAGCAGTGGTTCTCAACCTTCCTAATGCCACGACTCTTTAATACAGTTCCTCAGGTTGTGGTGACCTCCCCAACCATAAAATTATTTTCGTTGCTACTTCATAACTGTCATTTTGCTACTGTTATGAATTGGGCGACCCCTGTGAAAAGGCCGTTCAACCCCCAAAGGGGTTGCGACCCACAGGTTGAGAAGCACTGCTCTTAGAGGGTTACTATGAGTCAGAATTGACTGAATGACAGTGGGTTTGGTTTTTCTTGGTTTAGTCTTATTAGGGTGTCTTCAAAAACAGCATCCAAAAACAATGATTCCTGAGGAGGGGTGTCTATTGTGGGATACATAAAGGTTATTCCCCAGTTGTCCCCTGCATATTACATGCCAAACCTAAGATGCTGCTTGCTAACACATGGCCAATGGCTATACATACACTTGGAAGCCAACTGCTTAAAGGTTATCAGCCATCTACAGCAATCAGACTCCACTGTCTGTCCCACACTAGGTGGAGCCTACTCCTTGCTGATAAGGATAGTGGATTATTCCTCCTGAAGGAGAGCCCAAAGAACAGGTCAAGCCAACTCAAGGAAGATCAGTTAGGCTGCCATCTTGACTTTAGAGTCCGCCCATCTTGTCACATGTATACCCCTAGTGCCTCCCCTTGCTATCGTGTATACACTTCTAGTTTGTTCCCTTCCTATTGCATGTATGCCTGTAGTAGGACTCCTTCCTGTTATGATGTAATTACGGGGCCTGCATGTCCCTGAAGTGTATATAAGCAGTGAGTGGAAATACATTCTCTCTGCGTGGACCTGGCTGTTGAGATCATGTCCGTTGGGAAGGTGAGCAATTGCACGCCTTATCTTGTCTGATGTCTCTTTAATTTTGCCCCTCAACTACACAACTGCTCTTGGACCCGTTCAATTGTGGGGAGTCATACCCCACAATCTACAAAGCAAGTTACACTCAAGACAAAAGTTCAGATAACATTCTTATAATTGCTTTTGGGGGTTTCAAAAGGGTGATCTTGAAACAGGACTCTCATGGGGGATTTATTAAGAGCTTTCAATTAAAAAAAAAATAGAAAACTACTTTGATGAGAAAAAAGGCAGGAAAGTTGTGGCAAGAAATTTTGTTGCACCAGGGCAATGCAACTGCTTATTTTCTAGGATAACAAGGACTATCCTATGAGAATTACTTTGGGACATCTTACTCATTCACTCTCAAATGCTGACCTTGCTCCTTCAGAGTTTTGTTCCCCAAACTTAAAGCACACTGACAGGGAATTCATGAGTCCCATGAGGAGGCCAGAACGGTCTTCCTGACGGGACAGTTTTCAAACTGAAGAACACAGATTTCCTCAGGAAAGGATAGCGGTGGTTCCCTGCTGTCCAGTTTGACCCTAAGTATAGCAACCCCTATGCACAGCAGACCCACAGTGCCTCGTCCTGCACTACCTAACAGTTGTTTTTAGCTGTAAGTCCACTGCTGCAACTGGTGCCCTTCTTTCTCCTTGAGGGTCTTCCTTTTTTTTTTTGCTAACCCTCTACATCACCAAGCATGATGCCCTCCTCTTCCTCTTCCAGGGAATGGGCCCTTCCTGATAACATGTTCTAAGTATATGAGACTAAGTCTTGTCATCCTTGTTTCTAGAGAACATTTTGGCTGTACTTCTTCCCAGACAGATTTATTCATTAACCCTATGATTCAAAGGTATCAATGCTTCCATTTTTTTTTTTTTTTTTGCTTTCTAAAATATCATATTGCCCAAAACTATGATTCAGAGTATCAAGGCCAAGAAATGTATTCCCTAATCAAGGTGTTTGGTTATGCCAATTTTTTGGTCTTCCTTATTATTCACTGTTAAACTTTCTCATGCATTTGAGGTGACTGGAAATACTATGGCTTGAGTCTGACACACCTTAGTTTTCAGTGTGATGTAGTTGCTCTCTAAGTCTTGAAAGAGATCTTTTGAAGCAGTTTTGCCCAGTGCAAATCATTGGATTTCCTAACTGACACTTCTATGAGGATTGTGGATTCACGTAATATGAAATCCTTGACAACCTCAATCTTTTCCCCATTTATCACGCCTATGAGTCCAGTTGTGAGGATTTCTGTTTATGTTGAGTGTAATTCCCAAGACTGTATTCTTTGGTATTCCTCAGTAAGTGCTGTAAGTCTTTTTCATTTTCAACAAGCAAGGTTGTCTCATCTGCCTATCACAGGTTGTTCAAGAGTCCTCCTGCAATCCCGATGCTGCATACTTCTATGCTTCTTCAATTACACCAATTTCTCAATTATTTGCTCAATATACAGACTGAATGAGTACAGTAAAAGGATGCACCTGATAAACAACTTTTCAGAAGTGTACAGACCTACATGGAGGTTATTAAAAGAAACTAACTTTCCCTTTTGATATTTTTAAAATAAAGGTTTCTATGATTTGTAGCAATACGTTTTTAACCTATCCTTATATAGCATTTGGTCTCAAACTATATTGTACTTAACAATTTGCTAAATACCTTTACTCAACATGAATATTTCTGGGCCTATTGACACAAATTCCTTTTTTTGTCTTGGCCAAAACTTTTGAAATATCCAAAACACAAATGACCAACAATTATATGCTTCTTTTAAGGGCAGTACCCATTTCTGGCACCTAACAGGCCCTTGGGTATCATCCAGTAAGCTGTGCAAAGGTATGGACACGTAAACTAACACTCCCATCTTACTACGAAATCTTTACGTAGTTGCCAGGGCTTATTATTAACAGCCAATTAGTTATAGATCTGATTGCTTATAAACTGTGTTATCCATTTGAATAGTTTGTAGAAAAGATCCTTGGGACATATTCAAAGAACCTTCATTTTCTATGGAAAGAGAAAAACATGTTAGGCTAATCTATTTTTTACAAATTTTGCTATAATAGAGTCACCTGATAAATAGTATGTCCATGTTTAGTAAATAAAGCGAATGTTAGATTTTCAAATTCATGAAAATGTGGAAATTTAACCACTAGAGGGCCTTATTATTTAATTCAAAATATCAAAATTATGATTTACTATTCTGCTGAATTACTTATTATAGAAATGTGCATTGTTAACTTTTGATTTAAAGTGAAAATTTTAATACATGAGAGCACAGTGTATAGACGGACAAAAACTTTCATTTTGCTAAAAGTTAGAATGAGTTGTTTAATAGTAGTAAATAAAGTAAGTAACTTTTCCATGCCCACTACCTTTAACTTCTTTTGTAAAGAAAGCGTTCAATGTCTGTCTTAAAGCAATTATAGCTAACACAAGTAATATTTTTACCCTAAATTTACTAAAGTTTGTTTCCTTACTTTAATAATTAATAGAAAATTTACCTCAAGTTTGGAAGTACAAGTAGTATCCCCTACTTTTCAGATGTTTGCTATATGCCACTGCGCATTCACAAAATACCTCTTTTGCTAACTGAAAGAAATCTGAAGATGATTTTGGCTTATGGAAACAGGCAAAAATGAAAGCTCAGCATTTTAGGGCAGCAGGTAATTAAAGAGACAGTGTGTATGTGGAGCAGCAAGAGTGAGTTTACCACCAAGATCCCAGGAAGAATATTCAGCATCAAGTCATTACAGATTTAAACTGTGCCTGTGAACACTATAGTAGTGTTATTTCAGATTTTATGTGTTAGTTTGTATAAGTTAGTAAGTTACCTATTGGATTTGGGAACACTATAAAAAATTTACAATATATAAATTAGTTAATTGCATGTTCACTTTAAGCCATTTTAGCTTACAAAAGGTTTCATAAGAACATTCCACTTAGGATAAAGGGAGAACCTGTAAAAAGTAAAAACAACTTCATTTGATTACCAACATTTTTCCATCTGCTCGACATTTTAATATTTAAGTAAATATCTAAAGATATTGAATACTAATCTATACCCCACGGTTCGAGTTCCTCAAACAACTAAGCACTGGTATTTTAAAATAAAATATATTAAACCTCTATCATTTCTGATGATACTTTGAAATGATACCAAAAGGGCTACCAGAGGAAAAAAAAAAACTAATATTTTATAGGCAGGAAAGCTACAAGTTGTACAGGAAGATTACTTAAATGTCCTTCTTGATATTTATTTTGAACAGAGAAATCTATGTATGGATCTACAGCTGAGATGGCATAGTGGCTAAGTAT